GTCCAAGGTATGGTTCTCCGGCCTGGCACACGACCTGCTGTGCGGTGGGCTGAGAGAGACACCGGTGTTACCAAAAGGGACTCAGAAAAGCCCCTTAGTCTTCTCCTCCTGCGGGGGAGGTCCGCTCCCCAACAGGTCAGACTTGGACAATGGAAAAGCCCCCACTCACAAGACGAAAGTCAGCAAAACAGTCTCCCTGCTTCTTTCTCAATGCAGCCACCTGAAGGCAAGGAGGGGCAGTTACTGCCTTAGTGGGGGGCCAAAGCCTCTGAAAGCCTTTGGGTTTGATCGGAGCCCTACTCAAAAGGGGCTGAAGGGTGGAAGGGGGCCAGCCAGAAGCACAGGGTCCCTCTTCACTGTCTCTTCATGTTGCTGTCCCTGTGGTAGGATGTGGTAAAGGAAACCTAGAGCCACCCTTGTTCTCTTGAAAAAGAAAACCATCCCACTGCCTACAGATACATTAAATTCACAATGATGCCTCATAGATAACGAGGAATTTCAACTAAGCTGTGCGATGTTCAGTTTTTCCAAACCAAATTGTATTCCAGGCCAATAAACCATCTCTGGTCGCTCATCATGGAAGGAAAAGAAATCCGGGGTGGGGAGAGTCCCAGGAGCACAGGCCAGCATTTCAGAAACATAGCTCTGCTTCCCGCCAGGAGGAAACACAGCTTTGTTGCCAGGACAATGACAGAGCCACAGGCATGGGGCTACACACAGAGGGAGACTCTTTTGCTCAGAAAGTCAGTCCAGAAAGGGGAGCATAAATGCTTGAGCAGAACAGGACAAAGGAAATGAATCAGAAGGGCTTCTCTCAGGTCTTCCAGGCAAAAGATGAGGTCTGGCTGGAGCCCCTTTGCAGGATGTCTTGTTGTTGAAAGAGAAAAGAGAAGCATTTGGGTGTTAACTGATCTCTCCCCTCCAGGTTCAGGCCAACCGAGTTCCCTCTCCTTTGTAGCGGTGGCGTACAGCTGATCTGTGACCACCGCTTTGGAGCTGGAGGACAGAACCTGCCATCACAGACACCGGCTCACCTGACAGTCACTCAGAACAGTAAAGGACAAGGTCGGAACATCCTTTCCAGAGGGAACCCCACCATGGCTGTGTGCAACAGTCGAGCAGATGCTCGAGGCAGCCTCTCAAAGAAGGAGGTCCCAGTACTTAGCTAGACAAGAAGTCTTACTGACATCAGCAGGGCCTGTGCAGACGACCTCTTCTCTCTTACCCTGGGATGTGGAGAGAAGGCAGCTTTGACGATTCTATGAATTAGCAATACAGCAAGCCAACTTCATTGACCATAAGCCAGTCCCATCAAAGGGAAGATTACTAGGGGGGCACGCGTGTCCATGCTGCAAAGACTGCCAGACAGCGCGTCTGCCCAGACAGAAAGGAGGCGTACTTGAAAGACGAGAACGTCTCAATGAATTGATCCATATGAATACGGTGTGTGACCACCTAGTTATCATACAGATAAGCCATACCACGAGAGGTAGTGTGGCCCAGGGCAAAGACAACCACCATTCTGACATTTGACTTTTTTGCATTCTTGCAAAACGTCACTGAAATGAAATCCTACGACTACGACGTGTACTCTGGTGCCTGGCTGCTTCTGCATAACGTTTGTGAAGTTATTCGCATTGACCCGGTCCTTTCCCCTGCTGGGTGGGACCCTGATGCAGGAGAAAACCCAGAAAAACCGTATCCCTTCTACAACTGATAAATACTGGAGTTATTTCCAGTTTGGAACTCAGGTGGTCAAAACTGTTACAAACACCCTTGTCTGTCTCTGACCGGTACATTCTCGGCTTTTTAAAGGTGGAAACCGGGACTTCATAACTTAACTCAGCAAGAGGGCAGGGCGGGCATCCAGCACATCTCTCCGAGACACCTGCACGCAGCCAAGAGAGGAGCCTTGGCTATTTTCTCAGTCATCTCTCTCGTTCTTTCTCATCTCTTTAATTTTTAGGGCCTTCTGCTTTCAGAAAATCCCACTTTAAAAGTAGCTATTTCTCCTTTCGGAAGTCCATCTTTTTCAGCAAAAATCTGAATCAAAACCAATTTTACCTAATTGACTCCTACAATGAATCAACTCTCTACCAACTGTAACTCTTTTTCTGCGGAAACTGAACATAATGATTCATCCTAGACCCTAAAAACATGCATGTGTCTCATCTGTAAAAGATACTAATTATAATGCAGGGGGGAGTCTGCAGGCAGGAAGACGGCATTCATGAGTCCCCGTCTCCCAGGCCAGCCCCTTGCAGTGTTTGCTTCCAAGGTGAGAACAGGATGGACACAAGGACTCCTCAGCCTCGCGCATGTGGAACCTCCCTCCTCAGGCAAAGTTACAGTGAAACGTGTTTTCAACAGTATTTACACTTGTGACGTGAAGACTTGCAAGGTAAACACGGTAGACAAAAGATGACGCATTTCAAAACAGAGGGAGGATACCAGTGACATGGAGAACCGGGAAACTAGGAGTCTAGGAGACAACCAGACACCTCAAGATAGTCTTGACGATACTAAGAAGTTCATTAAGTTCTCGTCTTCCTGTAAGTGGGTTTTCTAACCTGCCACTTACAGTTTTTCTTCCTACAATTACACATCATGTGGATCTCAATAACACTGTCCCTGGAGCCATTTTCCTGGCAGCTCACACTGCCCCCCGGGGCTCTGCTCCCTCCTGCGGTGCACGCGTTTATGTTTATCTGTTTTTACTCAGGGCCCCCAGAAATGTGGCTGTCCATTACCACCAGCACGATTTCAGTATTTCCTGGCAGTTTTATTTACAGTGACATGTTTAAGGGATGGAAGGCAGATTTCGATTTTATGGATTAGCAATAAAGCAAGATTTACAGAAAGCTGGAGAAATACTGGGCCCGCAGTGGCAATGGCACATCCCCAGGGGAATTATCTTCGAGCGATCCATGACAATGATCCCTTCCCACCTGGCATCAAATGTCCCCAAGTCCGACACATCCCCAACATCAGGTCCCTTCCAGGCAGAACAGGGAGTTGTAGGTCTTCAGGCTACTCACGCATCTGCTGCTACATGTCTCCAGCCAGCTCTCACCAGCACCGTGGGCCAGCCAGAGACGAAAACAGGCTAAAAATTAGACTCCGGGATCTGGAGTAAGAAAAGGAGTGAGTAGACAGAGTTTGGAGACCCAGGTTCAGGACTCCCTTCCTGGACATATCTGGATGCCAGAGGACTGCAGGCTTGTATCCAGAAGGAGGCTAAGAATTAAGAGGGGAAGGAGGAGGTTTCAGGAGGCTGTTCTTTTGGAACATTTGGACACGATGCCCCAAGTACCACATAAAGACAAATAAAGCATTACATATAAAGAAATTTATAAAGAACAGACACTGTATTTCGCACCCTGCTAGACTCAGTTGAGCCCAGTGAACAAGGAACTAGCAAGGGCTGGGTCCTGGGCACAGGGCTGGTGCTGCCGCAGGAACTGAGGGGTGGGCGTGGAGATGGGTGCAGGTGTGTGCACCTGCCGCTCTGCCTGAAGATGTGGTAATGGTACTTTCCCTCTTGTCCTCCCATTTCATCCCCCAAAGCCACTGCCCTTGGATCCACCATTCCTCTGCCCTTTCTTGGGAATTATTCACACTACCAAGTGCAGTCACTTCCAAGTATGTTCAAGAAGAATGAACTTCAAGCTACAACCCTGAGAAAACTTGGGGAGCTGGGAGACCTGTGCCCAGTTGGCTGCTTGGTCCCAGGCCCAGGCACCAGGGTCTGCCAGGAATCAGGGAGGCCAGTGGCCCAGTCACTTTGAGCTCAGAAGACACACTACCCATTGGTGGACTGGGTGGATTTGCCGAAGAGGTGGGGAAGAGCTCCTTGGGCTCTAGGAAGAGCTCCTAGAAGAGCTCCTAGATCTGTTCCTCCCCAAGTGAGCTCAACTCTGCTCTGTGACAAAAAGGACACATACCCTGCGGCCAGTGGTATGTGTAACACGGAGGGAGGGGGCGTCTTGATGAGGAGCAGTGGTGGCGCCAGCTCTGGAGTGTTCCTAATGGCCTCGGGCCACAGACCCAGGGGGTGGGGGAGGGCACTCCCACCTCTGTCCTCACTACTCACAGCTGGCGAACCTGTCAGTCTCCACTTAGAAATGCTGACCCTGGGCTGGACTCCACAGGGAAACAGGCCCTTGACCCTGGCCTCCCCTAGGCAGCAATCTGCAGGTGAGGGGGCAGAAGTCTATGCCCCCCGCGCTCCAGGATTTCAAAGCTACGCCAGGCTGGGCCCACTGGCAAGCAGGCAGCCATCACTGGGCGACCCCTGCGACCCCTCCCTAGAGAAAAACGCCAGGTCCCCCGCCCTCCAGCTGCTCCAGAGGCGGCTGGAGGGCAGACTCAACAAGTTCCCGGGTCGCGCAGCGCCGCCTGCAGCCCAGAAACCCTGAGGACGCGCCGCGGTGGAGCCCCGCGCACAGGCGGCAGCCGCCGTTGGCTCCTTCCACCTCCTCCTCCAGCTCCGGCTCGGACGTCGGAGGGCGGGGGCTCCCCGCTCCCTCCCGCTCCACTCCCTCCAGATCGCCCACCCCGCGCACGCGGCCCCGCGGGGCCCGCGCCGCCCCCGCCCCCGCCCCGCGGGGCCCGGGGCTCCGCCCGCCTCCGTGCCAGCCCCGCGCACAGGCGGCGGGCGCGCGGCTCCGGCACCCTCTCCTCCGGCCGCCCGGCTCCGCGGAGTAGCGGGGACCCGGGGGCGGCTGCAAGGACTTCCCTCCCGCTCCCTCCCCCACTCCGCCCCCGCCTCCCGGCCCCGGCTCCGAGATCTCGCCGAAGACAATTGCAGTAAATGAGGACATCGGAGGAGCACGGAGCCGGGTGGCTGTGGCTGGCTCCGCCGCGCCGCCAGCGAGCGAACGCGCGGGCGTCCCCGGAGCCGGCCGAGCCGCTGCCTCCCCGTGCGCGTCGCTGAGCCGGGCCGGAGGCGAGCTGCGGCGCGGGGGCCGGCCGGGCCAGGCGGGCCGGGCCGGCGGCGGTGGAGGGGGCGGGCGGCGGGCGCGCAGCCGGCCAAGTCCCCGGAGCCGAGCCTTCCTCCGCGCGAGCCCCGCGAGCCTCGCCGCGGATGCCCTGCCCGGAGTGCTCCGTGCCGCGCCAGGCTTGCCCAGGTCCGCGGCGAGACATGCCCGAGCCAGGCGCTGCACCGACCTCGACTTATCTGTAAGCAGCCGAAGGTAAGCGTAGCCCCGCGTGCCCTCCTCCCGCTGCACTTGGCCGCAGGCAGAGCACCGCTCGGACGGGCGCCGACCCGGGTCCGGCGCTCCCACTCGCCCCCTTCGTCCCGGACTCGGCGGCTCTCCGGGCCAGGACGCGCCGGTGCAGCCAGGAGCGGACTGGGCGGCGGGCGAGGTTACGCAACTGCATCTGGCGCGGCCGGGTCGCCGAGGGGCGTCTGGCAACTTTGGCGATGGCCTGGAAGCAGTGGGGCTGCATGTCTACGCTGTCGGTTCTAGACAAACGCCACAGCCTCGTGAGCGCCCGAGAGCCCTAGCTAGGCAGAACTGCGGGATCGCGGGCGGCCGCGTCTCTGGAACGTTTCGAGGTGTTTAAGTATTTTCCAAACTAGAGCGAACTGGCAAGTGCGGCTGATTAACTTCGGGGGGATAAGTCCAAGCAGAGGGGCCCTGACGCCTGCCGCGAAGGAGAGGCGCGAGCAGGAGCGAAGGCAGATGCCCACGTGAAATACCCATTTCCTCCCGTGGCGCCAGGGCTCCCTTGGGTCGGCACTTTCCCGGGGCTGTGGGCCGGGATTGGCATCCGCGGGGCTTCGGGGCGCGTGGCGTCGCGTGTCAGCCCGGGACAGGCGTGGGAAACCAACCAGCGCTGCAGAGGGAGCAAGCGAGCTTGCTGGAGGGCGAGGGCAGGAGGGAGGAGGATGCCCCGGGCCAGCCCGGGGCCAGGGCGGCGCCTGGAGCCCAAAGTCAAGAGCGAGAGTCTGCGTCTTGCTGGTTCATGCTCAGGGTTCCCAGCGTCGCTGGGATAAAAAACCTATCCCTGTGACCTCAGCATTCTACTACCCAGAAACAAGCCACAGGGAGATGGGGCTAGTGATAAGGGGATGCCAGGAATGGGGGAGGAGAGGCGCCTCTGGAGTCAACCAGGGGAGAGAATCAGTGCATTTGGCTCATCTACAAAGCAGGACTTCCACGCTGACCCCTTTCCCTCTGCAGGTCTATGACTGGGGGCTGCTAGCCCGGTTGGGCCCCAGAGCCAGAGGCAGCAATGAGGCAGTTTCATTTGACCTTGTCTGCTTAGGCGCTTACGTTCTGCAGAAGCATGCCGAGGTGAACTGGCCAGCGTGGGAACTTCGGGGTGGCCCTGCCCTGGCTCGGAAGCCACGCTGTCATTCCCCAAGACTACAGCTCAGACTAGCAGAGGGTTGGGGTCCGTGCACTTGGATGTCTTCCCTCGGACAGACTTGCTAGGGGTTACGTTTCCATTTGACAGTGGGGGCCTGTCAAGGTTACAGCGATGGGGACTTGATTGAAAAATACCACCCGAATCACCTGACCTGGGCCATTCCCAGCCAGTTGTACACGTGTGAAAACGCTCTTCTGTGATTAAGGTTATGCTAGAGATGGAGCAGAAAGGAGCCACCATTTCACTTTGCGGAGGCGGAAAGCGCAGTCTGTACTATTCACTGTGCTATTTATTGCATTCATATCCTGTTGAATGTTACTTTCCAAAGAAAAGTTCACATTTATCTTTGCCATTCTTTTTTACAAGAAGGATTAGCAAATGGGCACAAGCAGCTTAAAGGGAAAATGGAAGCCCTGCCATCTGCATGCCTCACCAGATATTAATAATTTACTACCCATGTTTACTACTTACATTAGATGGCACTGCTCCTCGGGATGGTTTTATTAGAGGCGCATTTGGATAAAAAATGTCTAGCACAGCTATCACTAATTGCATGATTTTGCATAAATTAGGTTAGCTACACAGAGTTTGTGCTTTTCTTCACTAAATTCATCGTTTCCTTAAAGAGAGAAGGATGCTGTTTAATTTCTTTAGCTAAAGGAAAGACCTCTACTTAAAGACAGGATGCCCTTGAAACTCAAATTATATGCCTTTCAACTTACTACAGTTGTCAGGACTTCATCTTTTTTTCTTGTGATGGAGACCTGGAGCTTTTACTTACATCAGGTCCATTACCCTATTGAGAAGCACAACTGCTGGTTAAGAAACCAGCTAATAAGGGAAAAGCTGGAAAGCTCCACGTTGGCACAAAGAGCTGTCAAGAAGCCCAATAGAAAGTTGGATATTCTCATTCCCCCCCCCCCGGTTACTTGGGGGCTTCTCTGTTCCACCACAATTATTTTCCCCATGGCAGCATAGAGAATTTTTGTCATGTTTCTCCCTCTATAGAGAAAAAAAGAAAAAAAAATTTAAATAAGCACATAAGTGAAAGGCTTGTGCACGAAAGGCACCAGTCGAGCAGGAAGACTCCTACACGCTGAAATAAGCAGTCAGAAAATACAAATGATTCTCAGAACTAACACAGCTGATCACAGCCGAGCAGCTGGACAGATGTGCTCACTTAGCTAGACATTTGTATTCTCCTGGCTGTCCTAACCCGTGGCTGTCTCACTTAGAGCAACAGATACGAACTCTCTTGTATGAGGAGCAGATTAGTTACTGTTGGGGACAGGCTGCTTCTCGGGGACTAATGATAAAGAAATCACAGCTACACCACAGAGCGAGTCTGGAGACCAGCATCCAGGTACGCAGGCAGAGAGGTAGGGTCAGTGGGATGTTTTATTCTGAGTCTCGACCAGCCCATCAGATAGCCGGGCAGGTGGCATCAAGGCTGCTGCTTAACCAGTCAAGGCCTCACCAGAAACAGCCTCCTGTTTGAGGTAAACCACAGCCATCTGGGGAAAGTGAGGTTATTAGGGCCTCCCCAGACAAAACTGGCAGCTGTATTTTAAACAATTCCTTCATAAACGTGAAGAACCCTTCCCCACTGTAATTCCACCGAGACCTTCGTTTCCAGCCCAAAATTAGCTGACATAATTTATGAGGCAGATCTTTTTCAGTCTCCTCACATATTTGATTTTAATATTTCATAACATTATGGAGTGACTTCAATATTTTAAAGGAAAATTTAATATGATTGATATTACATGACAAGACTTTTATTACCATGAAATTCGCATACAAACATTTGGATAAGTCTCCAGTATGTGAGCTAACCTGTAACATGAAGGCAGCAAAACGTCATAATTTTTAAGCCACTTATGTTAGAAGTTAATATATCTTCTATATGAAGGGCAGACTAGAGGATTGGTACCAAGTTGTGGGGCCCTTGCCGGGATTCCTACAATCAAGTTGTGGAGAGAGCATCTCATGACGAACAGTAAGCCACAGGAAGCATAGGTCCAGACCTCGGGACCACGTACAATAACATATCCGCCTCAGATGCAGAGGCGCTGAGGTGTCTTCAAGCTACCAAGAACCATATCTCTCCAAGCACAAGAAACCATAACTTCAGAGACAGCTCCTGGTTGCAAATACAATTCCTGATAGAAACTCCGTAGGAGCTTCCTCTACCTTAAGTCATCAGTGTGGGTGTGAGTCAGACACATTTCAGCCATCATTCAGAACACAATGGATGAGTCGAGGGACTTGGGAGGTATACAAAAATATTATCAAGAGACGAACCACTGGTCTAAATAAAAACAAAACACATTAATCTGAAGGCTCTATGTCTCTCTGCTAAATGCATACTTCCCTCTCTCGTTGGGATACCAAAAAAAATTAACTTGAATACAGAAAAGCAGATATTAGGGACAAGAAGGAATCATGTTTCCCAAGTATAAACCGTTTTTGCCAATACCGTATTTTAGAGGGATTTAGAAAGAACTATGTCCCAGGTCATTACTCATGAATGTTGCTTTTATAGAGCGTGGATCAGATTATCCCAAGTACATATATCCCCAGGACTCTCTCTACCACGTCATCTTGCTCTTAGGGAAGTTTGAGCATGGAAAGATCAGAGAGGGATCACGTGGGCACAGCGTATGTTCCCCTGAGTTACGCTAACAGAGCCATAACAGGGGCAAGGAAATTTTTTAGAAATCATCACACCATGGCAAAATGCTAATCAAAGTTTATGTTGCAGTTACTATGGAAAATTCCAATTCAATCCTTAATAATCTAGCCTTGGGCCTAAGATGAAATGCAGTAAACCACAGCCTACGAGAAACATGAGGAGGGGGCTGTGGGCTACCACGAATGAAAGTGGCTCTCTCCTCAGAAGTCCGGAGGGAAAGACGAGGGAGGGGAGGCTCATGGTCTCTGGGGCCTTGTGCCAGCTGCCCCGCTGAGGAATCACCATGGAGATATATCACAGCCACAATCAACCTTCATGGAACTGACCAGTCTTTGTTCATGTTTCTAGGTCATTCCAGTGGTGATGTGGGTCCCTCCACCCTGGTTGTTCCCAGGAAGTATCCTGTGTGTGACAATTTCTCATTTCTCTGTCTTTTGCATGTGTCCTTTGTGGTTAGACTAAAGTCCTCAAATCATCCGTAATTCACTTTCATAGTAAGTGACTTTCATGTCCTGGGAAATGTAGTGGTACTATAAAATCTGGGTTCTGGAACGTGGGCAAACACAGGAAAGACAGACTGACATGAAGATGATTTTGTCGACAAAGGACTGCTGGTTCATGGAAATGTACTGAACACAAGCAGCAGCGGCCAAGGCAGCGTGTGAGTGTCCGAAACCAAGTGACAAGAAGCTCCAGGCCGGGAGGACGAGGTGGGAAGTAGAATCAGGGGACAGACAGTACTCTTGGAGGTTCCCAAGAGAAAGCAATGCCCTGCCCGGGATGAAGGCTGAGACCGGACTCCTGAGCCCAGCACAGGCAAATCCTAGAGCTGACACCCAGTCGCCGGGTGCTGAGAGCAAGAGACTGGTATGGGGAGAATGACAAGTGACACTGGGAAAAGGTGGAGGAACAGGGATCAGAGAGTGAAGAACCAGTTTGAGGAAGAACCAGCAGGACAAGAGGGGCCTCTGCTCACGGACCGTGGGCGACCACTGGGTACTTGGAACAATAACATACATGTCCAGAAGACAGAGTCTTGCTAGCTAGAGACGAATCAGAGACCTGGAATTGGAGACCAGTTGAGAGGGTTTAACAGGTGACAATTAATTGGTATCATGG